TGCGACAACTATTGGGACAGAGTATGTTTTTGATTGATCATGGAATTACTATTGAGGTTTCTTGTTTGCATTTTAGTCGTGGAAGGAGGGGACTCGGTTAGGGGATGTTAACTGTTGTGGAAAAAGTTTATACAATACTGTCATGTGAGTGCAATAGGATGAAAGGATGATAAATCACTTCAAAATGGGAATCATAGGTTTCATGTCCTTTGAGGAATAATTATGTCCTTCTTCTTCTCTCTGCCACCAAGTCCTGAAAACCCCGACCATCAGCTCCACTAATTAGATGTTACAATGTATATATCCAAATGCTTTTCTATATTTAAAGCATGGCTTTTTTTTTTGTTCAAATCACTGTGGTAGAATTGTTTAAATTTTGCTTACCTCGTCTGAGTGTTTGAGGGTGTTTAAGAAGAGTCATTTGTCTAGAACATTTCATATGCCGATTAAGTAATCTGGAGGATAATGTTTTGCAGAATGATTGCCTGTCCAGCTGCAGATATGGTGGATGGCTCAAAAGTTCTGTACTTCGAGCAGGTAGTTAAGATACAGTGTATTGTTTGGCTTTTTAATCCATGGAAATCTTTTGTTAACTGGTATGATTTTCTGTTGCCAGGCATTCTGGAGAACTCCTCAGAAACCCTTTCGCCAGGTATGCCTCCCTTATACATGCCTACATGGAGGAGATCATTTGCCATGCCTAATCTTAACTATTCCTCACTTCTTCTTTGTTACTTGCTTGAACTGTTATTTCAACCTTGAGTTTTTTTCACAAATTTAATTGGCATGCTGTTCTGGTATGGATATTTTTCATTCATTTTGAACCCAAATACTCCCTGCGTTCTTTTATTGTTCTACTCATTTTCCAGTAGCTGGTTCTTTTTTTTCCCCCCTTTGCGTTATTCTATTTTAGGTATATACCCCTTTTACTTTATTCACTTTTTCCAACATCCACTCATCTTTTCTTTTTCCATTCTCTCTCTTACTAAATTTACACCCGATCACCATTTTTTTCAATATTTTTTAAAATTGCATATCTAGCGTAACTGAAGAATAGAGGGAGTATTAGAAATTGGAAATTTTTGTTTCGTTATACTTTATATTTTACTTTTTGTAATAGGGCTTCAGTGTGAACAGACTGAACACTTGAGTGTGTTTGTCATGTGGTATTTTCTTAGCCTTCTATCTTCTTTTGCTCTTTTGCATACTCTTTCTCTGGTTATATATTATTTTTTATTTATCTTGGATTGTAGTCTCTTCACACTTTCCTCAGTATATATGATTTTAAGAAGCAGGAGTCCTCACTTGCCTTACCCCAAAAACAAATTTAGGAATTTAAGACGTTGGCAGAAATCCAAATGTGATTTAATTTTCATTGATATATAGTGTCACTTACTCTTGTAAACAATGTTGTTTCTAAATATACTCAGGATTAAATTCTGTAGGAAATTATTTTGGTTGCTAATATTGCTGCTTTTGCATTGCAGAGATTTTATATGGTGAAACCTTGTCCCAAGGAGATGAAATGTGATGTTGAGGTGAGCCTTATGTTTTAAATTGTTCTTCATTTTTGAGCTATTAGCTTTTATAAGGCCACCTTTATCTCTGATCTTCCTCAGATGGGTACATTTTTTTTTTTTTTTTTTTTTTTTTTTTTGCCTCTTGAAGTAGCAAGAAATATTTGACAGCCACATTATTTTTCTCCATTAGAAGACTTAGTTTCTTATATTAATATCAAGTTTGTGCACTGGCTAGTTTAGTTCTGATAAAGGCTTCTTACTTACAATGGCAGTTGAGTACATATGCCATTAGAGACATGGAGGAGTATAAGAACTTCTGTGATCGGTCAAAGGATCAACGTCCACTTCCTGAAGAAGTTATTCGAGTGAGTTTGCTTTAGCATACTTTATGTTTAAACATGCTTTGAACTGAACTCTTTAACATTAATTTGCTAGAATAAGGCTAGTTTCATATAAATTCATTTCTAGCTTTGTTCTTCCAAGAACATTCTGATACGTGTAACACAATGAAGAGATATTTATAATTATATACTTATGTTGTAGTACCTCTTAGGTCTTTCCGTGATAGTTTTTCTCTGGAGTAGAAAATGGACTATACCAGGTTTTGTACATGGTTAAGCTGTGAGTATAAGTTGCTGGAAGAAATATCAAATATGTCCATCACTGCTGTCAATCTTATGGGATATTTCTCCTGTTAAATAATGTATTCATCATGACAGAACTAATTCTGCTATTTTTTACTTCAAAAATCAAATCTCTCCTTCTAATGGTGCTGGAGGGTCATCTACTCACCTGTGATTTTTTGTTAAATGCCATAAGTACTTGCTATGTACATTTATCATTGTTATAATGCTTACATATATGGTGATGGGAAATGGGTTTTCTTCAGTAGGAACATCTTATTTTTTATGACTGATTGAATTACATGCACTTGTTGGGATTGATTAGAGGGATCTATATTGGTTTTTTTACTGCTAGACATTCCACATGCTCCATCATGGGTGTGCAAAACTGGATTTGGTCAACTGTTTGTTGTAAGTAGTAAATATAGGCAGCACATTTTCTTAGCCTAAATCGTATTTGTAATTTTGGTTAACCAGATAATCGGAAAATCAGTTTGGTTTGTTCGGGTAGTAAGTTACTCTAGTTTGCTTTGCCAACCTTCCTTCAGCTTATAAAAACATATTGGTATGGTCCTGAGTTACTGCATCATGTTTTGTTTTAAGAGGACCAGTAAGATTGATATTCATTTAAGCAAAAATTATGAACTGCCTTTCCCAAGGTAAAATGTTCACTAGTGAGACAGCTGTAATTTTTAAATCTAATTTCCAACACTAATAGACAAAAGTGCAGACAGGGAATATCAAAAACTAAATCAAGGCAAATCAATGATTGGTAAGTGGTAACCTTACCAATGAGCTAAAATTTATTTTCGGCAATTTTTAACTATTAAATTCATGTGGTTGGTTTAGGTATCCGAATTACAGAAAAATTATTAACCATATCCAATCAGAAATCTCGGTTTTTTATTTTTATTTTTATTTTATTTTAATGACGACCCATATGTTGGTTTGGTATTTACGGTTTTGGGTCCGGTTTTCTGGATTGATCTACCTGATTTTCCCTTTGCCCAAACTTTTACCTCGCTTTTCCTTCCAATTGTGTCATTAGCTAGCTTAACAGTCAACTGGCGATGAACCTTGATTGCCATAAATGAGATACTTATGGAACCTGTCACAATTAGTAGAAATGGAACTGGGCATTGTAGACCCAATCACATGTACTTTTGTTTTCTAGACTATTGGTAGTTGAAGGATGGCAGAAGATTTAAATAAATTATCAAATTTGACTTGTGAGATCCTTGGTAAATGTTTCCATTTGATAATTATAGTTAATAAAGTAATTAATTTTCCTTCTTAGCTAGATAAAGTATGGGCACGACATCCTTTGTTAGCTGTTTGGCTATGAATGATGTCAAGTGGTGGAGGGACGGTCCAAAGCCCTAACAAACTTGGCTACTCCTCAATTCTTTGTAATTAATAGGATAGGCCTTCAGGCATTGAACCACAGAATCCTTGGTGGTTAGGTAAAGCTAGCATATCTGTATCCCATTAAGCAACCTACATATCCAGATATTCTATCATACACTTTCATGGCATGGCTGCTCATTCCAGTCGCCATTTTGCAGGATGTTGCAGAACATTTGACTACTATTCATCTCAAACGGTGTGAACGTGGAAAACGCTGTTTATATGAAGGGAAAACACCATCAGAGGGATTTCCTAATACTTGGGTGTGTATTTTCCTTTCCTTGATGTGTTTTGCTGTAGGGAAAGCTTCTTTTTTTGTTCATATTTGACCAAATTTTCTTTGTGTACAGAACAATGCCTCATACTGTAAATCAGAGCTATCGGTCTTGAAAAACAATGAAATACACATGTGGGATAGAGGATATGATGAAGATGGGAATCAAGTAAGTTATAGTTGTGGTGTTAATATTTGATTCAAAGATTGCATTTTTGTGTTGGTTATTTTGTGGTTGACTATTGAATGGTTAATTGTAGAACTGAATGTTATATGTGCTACAGGTATGGGGAGTCAAAGAAGGACCTTACGAATTTAAGCCTGCATCAACGTCTAGTTTCAAGGACATGTACTCACCGGCGAATTTGTTATCCCCTTTATCCTTAGACAAAAGAATAGAGGGTTCATTTGTTCTACAGGAGTGATTACAAGCTAGTTGTACATGCATTATGTAAATCTTTTTGACATTTACAAGATAGCGAGGAAATAAATGTTATTATGAGCAAATTTCTCGTGTATTATACATGGATGGTGGATCTAATGCAGCCACTCGAAGTCCTCGTTCTAGAGTCTTAATTCTTAAATAATGAAATTTCTTATAGCTCACCTGCTGTCAACTATAAGTTATGTCGAATGGGGAAATGTTCCATGGGAAGATACCTTGAGCATGGCTTGCTCTTCTTGATTTGGTGGTACATACCAAAGGTTTGTGTATCAGTTTTTGCATATTTTCTCTCCAGCCTATCTGTGGCGTACACGAGAGTTGATTCCAAGGCTAAGACCATAAGTATCCCCCCCCTCCCCTCTCTCTCTCTCTCTCCAAATCTCTCTTATCTCTTTCTCCTTCTCAGCAGAGAAAAAAAAAATGTGTTTTTTTCAATGTTGATTGTTGGCTGATATAATTTTTTTTTTTCCCCGTGGATGCATTATGACTGTTAGCTATGGTGGAGGGGCTTGATTTAGTGTCCGTTGGCAACTTTAGATATTCAAGATAACTAGTTGCAGCTGTTCATTGAGGCGTATGATTCAAGTTAATTGAGGACCTAACATGGCAGTTAATTGTGACTTCTTCTGCAGATGGATCTTTCTCATAATGTTTTTGGTTGAATAGGCTATATATTGTCTTAATAAAATCTGCTTGGCAAATTTAAACAATTTGACAGTAAACTCAATGACTTTAATCCAAAGAAGCCTGATGGAGTTTTATTTGCATGACCTTGTCAGCTATTGAGGGCCAGGACTGACTAGAATATATTTCAGGAAAGTCAGAAAGTTGAGAATTATGACAAACTATTTAGAGCATAGTTTGACATGTAGCTTTGTAGAAGACTGATTGAGTGACTGGTGTGACTGCTGGATGCAAGGGCTATCACAATAGTTGATGCTGCTGGTATGTTTGAGTATTTGACCAACGTGATCGAAGAAACTGGATGAGTGTAAGGCTGAGCACATAGGAAACTACTAGTATGTGGTAAAACATCTAAGCTGAAGCACTGAAGCACCTCAGATCATACTACGCGTTCACTGCTGTGAGTGCTGTCAGCATTCTCCATCATCAGTTAAACAAATTCGTCAAATTACCAGAAAACTGAGAAACAGGAATGAGGACAGTGAGATGATATAGAATATGATATCAATATGATTTCATCAGGTTTGTACTTTAATATTTCTCACTAGTACAATTATACAAAAAGAATTAAGAGTAGCAGTATCGATGTTAAAAGAGATCACTACCCTCACAAAGTCACAAGTACAGGGTGATTGAGAAAAAAGCTATGTTGAGTACAAAACTTCAACTCAACAGCTTAATAGGTGCTGTTCAGGTAGAAGTATATTCCACCGAGAATTGCGATTCCAACAAAAATGGCAATAGGCAATGCTTTTCTACAAAATAGAAGGAAAAACATCAAAAATTTTATACTGTAATAGACTTACAGCTGAGAAGCATCACAGAATCAAATTGTATTGAACTTACCCAATAGCTTCATCTTTTTTAATCTGTTCTTTCCTTGCTTTTCGAACATCTTTGTCATTTACATTTTTGGTTACAGGGGGATCATATGCCCTGAATCTGCGCTTTGGAGCTCCACACACTGCACAATTTTCCAATCTAAGTTAAAACTACTATCTCTGGGATCATTGTAATATACTAATATTACATCTGTTCGATTTCCACTTCGAATATAAATATTTGAAACTTGTCCATTAACATGAAAACATTGTCTATCTGTCTTTGTTTCACAATTATGTAGTCTCTGACAGAATGACCAGTTTAATCCATACAATTTACTGCACTAATTCATCTTTTCAACTAATAAAATTGTATAATTCTGATGCAGTAATCAGTAAGAATGCAGTGGAATGTAAAGTGGTGTGTACTGACTTACCAGGACAATAGTAATTGTCAGGCAATTTCTCAAAAGGTTTCCGAGGATCATTGTAAATGTACCTGTAAACCAATCAGTTCATCCAACAAAGTCACTAAAAAGATTCAGGAAGACAAAAAAAGGAGAACAGCATAGCAAACAGAAAGAGTAACTCATACCCACAATCGCGGCAGATATAGGCCTGTTTGGAAGCAACACGCATAGAGAACTTAGGGGCAGCAGTAAGACTAACACCGGGAAGACGGAGGGAGGAAGACGAGAAAGATGATTGTAACGCAAAGCGATCAGCAGCGCGTCTGAGACCGATACTGGTGCCTGCAGGAGGCACCAGTGCAGAAGGTATAGTCCATGACTTGGTAGAAGTGGCTTGTTGCTGCAACTGTAATGTCATTGCCATGATTTTTTTTTTTTTTTTTTAAATTTGTTGTGTTAATTAGTGTAAGAAAAGAAATGAGGGAGTGAAGATAAAGGGAGAAAATGCAAGTAATTGTGGTAGGAGTTGAAAGCGTGGCATACTCACTCCCCACAAGCCCTCATATCTTTTCTTTGCTTTCCTTATCTTCTTGTACAGGAGGATCCAAGTGTGCTACTTTTTCCCCTACCAAAAATTAAATACATATAAAATCAAATAAAAGAAACAAAGGGTGCTAGTTGTTTTTGTTTTGTTTTTGTACATAGTATTTTCTTTTCTCCTTATTTTTAAGTATCTACTTGTATCTTTAATATTCATGTAAATTACAAAACCTTTTTGAAAAGAATAATAGTAAATTAGTAATTCCTCCGTTCTCAAAAGTTTTTTACCATTATTAATTACACACAATTTAAGACGATGATAAGATGTTAATAAGGTAAGTCCCTTTAAGAAAAATTAAAAATAAATAAATAAAAAAAATTGAAAAAAAATAAGTAGAACAAAGTGAGAAATTTAATAAAAAAAATGAGTAGATATGCATAATTTTGAAGGGTAAAAGTTTTATCAAACAGGAAGCCCCACTTAATCAATTTGATAAACAAAATTTGTTTATACAACAAAAGTGTGTAGAACTTTTAGACTTGGACTAAATTGAATTAGCATAGAACCTTCAACAGAGATACTTCGTAGTAATTATAACTACTTTGTGTAGTTGTTGCTCTAAATTTGGGTTGATCTAAGTGTTAAAGAGTAGTTTTTGAAGCTGGCCTTAGGCTATGTTTGGATAACAAAAAATAGAAGGAAAGGAAGGGAAGGGAAAGGGAGGGAGACAAACTTTCTTATTTGGATAATATGTTGGGGGAGGGAGGGATCCATTTTCCCTCCTCCTTTAATAAAGACCATCCCTGCAAAATTAGAGAGATTTGGAGGGGAAATGGAGCTCATCATTTCCTCCACTTTCCCTTCCTTCCCCTTCCTCCTATTTCCCTCCCTTCCATTTCCCTTCTAATTTGTTATCCAAACATTGCATTAAGGTTCCTAACTACAGTACCCCACTATAACATATGAGGAATTTCCCTTTCCCTTTCCCTTTACCCTCCTTCCTCATTAGGAGTGAGCAAACCGGGTATCCGGTCAAAATTTTAGGACCCGGACTTGGAATTGGTTCAATCGGGTCCTAAAATTTAGAAATTGGTATTGGGACCACCGGATACCTGTTCCGGTTCCGGGTACCCACTTATGTATGTAATTGTTAAAATATAGTACAAATTATAATTCTTATTTTAGTTAGGTTCATTTTTAGCGTTAAATACTTATAATTATATGTGCATTAAGCTATTTGTATTTATATTAGGTATTAACTAGGTTAGTTCCCATGCCATGCGCGGTAATTTTCAATGACCATTATTAAACTATCATTATAATTGGTTATATAAAAATAAAAAAAAAAAAAAAAAAAAAAAAAAAAAAAAAATCTAAGAATATAGTTGACAAATTTTGATCAAAGTAAACAATTACAAAGATATGTTAGGTATAAAATGATATAGAAAATAATAAAAATTATGTTAAGATAGTTTTTTTTTTTAAATAGCTATATAAAAATTTGTGTTTAAATATGTCAAATCCTTTTATTTTTAGTAATTATATTGTAATCTATAACATTAGGGAATATTTTTGTACAGAGTATAAAAATTTGTTCTATAATATAATTTCAAAAAAAAAAAAAAAAAAAAATTACTAAGTACACACCAAGAGATGACACATGTCATTACTGGTGTGTCTTTTAGTATATAATTATTATTGATTATTGATAATACTTTTTTAATTTACAAATTAAATGCATTCAACATATTTTTATTATTTATAATTTATTTAATTTAGTATATATTAGGTAACCGAGTACCCAACCGGTTCCGGTTCCAAAAAGTTGAGAATTGGAATTGGAATTGGACTTGGTTATAACTGGGTCCTTAATTTATTACCAGGAATTGGAACCACCGGGTCCAATTCCGTTTCCGGACCCGTCGGTTCCTAATCGGTTCCGGTTCCAATTCCGAGTACCCAGAATTTTTGCTCACCCCTATGACATATACTAGAGGCTCACTTAACCTAATTGGCAACCTACGGATTGGCCAATCAAGCCGATGATCCACCCCATTATCTTCTCATTGAAATGATATGTAATTAAGGCTTTGTAGTTCTAACATTGAGAATATTGAGAACTCGATTTATAGCGCAACAAGCAGCCAAGCAGGCTTTTTAGTGTAGATACAATACATTACACCATTGTACTGAAAACTGATGTTTCACACTAAATATGGAGCATGATAAGATTCAAATCTAAGCAACTTTCCTTGAGAGACTAAATACCACATTGCAAAAATAAAACCATTAATGCTGCAAAATTACAGAATGATCTCATTTTGTATTGGCAAAAAGAAGTTAACAATTTTACACTAAATGAATGGATATATCATTTACAACAGCAAACAAATGCCCACCTCTAGAAGTATTATCTTCACAGGGAAAAATGTTCGGCCACCTGAAATTTTCTACCCAGGACCATCTACCAAGGCTTAAGGTCACCCACAGGTCCTGCAGTCCAGTTCAGAACCTTTTCCCCAGGTTTCAAGAAAACGTTTTGGTTGTGGGGCAATTTACGTGCAAGTCCATTCAATATTTGATGAAAAGCATCACCAGGTTGAGCAGGTGTAGGGAACAGCATAGCTTGTTTAACTGAAGGGTTAGCAAGTAATCTTTGTTTCCTCAAGATAACTTCGGGAGGAATCGAAGTAAGTATTGTATCCAAATTAGGCACATCCTTCTCAACCACAAACAATCCAATTTCTTCCCATGGAATGGCATCTGCAAATGGAAGAACGATATCATCTGCTATAATGACAGGAATGCACCCAAATATAACAGCTTCAACCAATCTTGGACTCCAAGGTGCCCAGCCTAGAGGGCACAAGCAAAAAACAGCTCTTTGCATATCCTCATAGTATGTTGTAGGATGCTCTGTTGAGATGTCAAAAAGTGGGTTGTCCTTGAAGTTTTCCCAAACAGCTGCTCTTGCACCTCTGTATGTTAGGAAAGTAAGATTTAATCAGCATAAGTTGTTCTTAAGTCCATTAGAGCTTAGCCAGAATATTTTCTTCTCCAAATTTCTTATCATCTATGTGAGAGAGAGAGCAAACCTTGCATAGTAACCTCCTTCAGGGTCATTTCCGACATCATAAAAGAGACCCCGGAAGTAAACAAAGATGGAGCGAGGTGTATCTGGAGGGATTAAATGAGCTTGCATTTTCTGTGGCGGAGCATATGGAGGAATGGTGATTGCGCCCTCCTTCAGGCATACATGATTTCGCTGACCAAAAGTCTGAACCAAAGTAGCACGTTGGAGCAAAGGAAGAATACCTCTTTCGATTGCTTTTTCTTCCTGCATAATAAAGATATGACATCAAAAAAAGGGGGAAAAAAAGGAGAAGCTTGTAAAAACATTGTTCCTTTTGAACCATTTCTTACAGACCCATTTTTTTTTTTATTTGGTTCTAGTGTTACTTTCTGAAGTGGTAGAAAAATGAGTTCAATATTTTTCTCACCTGGTAATGGAAGCAAGCACCAAAATCATGAGGTACCACAAAAAAATGATCTGCTCCTTCTGTCCTGTTCCAATAAGGCCAGTTTGATGAAATAAGCTGTACAGCACTTCTCATCATGCGTGGGGATTTAAATGGCAGTGGAAGACCATTTGGTGTTAAATCGCAAGTGCTATACACTGGGGTGTAAAACCAATCAGCTTCTTCAGGATTAAGGGTTCGGACAGGGCTAGCAAGAAGAAACCGGTGCATAAATATCTCAGCTGCAAACATGTGGGTAAGACATCTTGGATCCTTCTGCAAGATCTTTTTGTTGTATTTGCTAGGAAGCTCATAAACAAAAACTTTCAGTCTGCCCACAGGGTTATCATCCAGGACATCACCAGCACTACCTGAAATATGAAGTAAATATCAAGAACAATCAGCAAGGCAGGAGAAATGTTCCTTCTTAGAGTAATCATTGATAATTCTGGAATAATAGATATACTTCGTACAATTTAGCAATTCAGAAAACTCAGACTAGTAATAACCAGCCAGGCTCTAAGAACTTCCTCAATTCCTAGATTGATGCATAAAAATAAATAAAAATAAAAAAAACAAGAGGAACCTTTGTTTGCATTGTATTATTTGGCCCATGTAATCAGGATTGTTCATTATCGAGATTATGCAAATATACAAAAAAAAAAAAAAAAAAAAAAAAAACTGTCAAAATTTATCCCTGTATTTAACCCAACAGTAGTGTACCTAAACATTTTGGCTAATATTCCCAAAACCCAATTTTATCTGAATCAAAACATTCATCACAATTTTGGACCAAATCCAACCCAAACCAATATAACCCTACTGATCTGAAAATCATCATATATAAATAATAAAACAAGATTGCGAGTAGTATATTACAATAAGATAAAAATTAAAAACCTACAAGTCTTCGGCTATTACTTTATCTGCTAGGTTTAAATGCTTGGAATAATTATCATTTGTATGGTTGGATTTGGCTTATTTTTTGGCACGTACATTTTGTATATCTTATTAGTATGAACTCGAATTTCAAATTTTTGGGTCATGACCATTGAACAAGCATTGTTGGATCTAAACTTGTAATTCTCCAACCCCAACCCAATCACCTGATCTGACCAATCAATTTGACAGGTAATATTAGAGAGAAATTTATTTATCTTGACCTTCAAGGAACGATCATCACATGAACTCCACATCTTATGTAAAACACTTTGATTGTCAGAAATAAGCATGGTTTATACTCTGTTTAGAGTATTTCTGTTTATTCTTCCCCTGCTCACTAAATCCTTCGCTCAGTTAATTTGTGAAGTCTGAGGAAGTGTTAACTGTCAAGTGGGCACAAAGTTTATATAAGCAAGAGCAATGTAACAAAAACAGCAAATGGAAGGACTTGGATGGTATTTGAATTTGGGCCTCTTAAATCAAATGCTTAAGCAGTTGATCATCTATTCATTTCAAACCCCTAAATTACAGTTTTTGGCTGAATTAAGGATATATCTTTTGCTTTCCAAATATCCATATTTTTGTATGAAAAAAGAGTTTGGACAGGAGACATATTTGCATAATCTTTCCTACTTCCCTACGAAGTAAGTTTTTTGGACTAATAGCTTCCATATCCTCTTACAAGTTGATACATCTAAGGGGAAGTAAAAATCCATATACAAGTCTTTGTCCCTTAGCAAAATTCACAATTCCTTCAACATATCGCTCCACCTTGCTACACAAATGGATCTAGCAAGGAGCAATCTAATCGTGACCCTCAAGATGGTTTTTTTTTTTTTTTTTTTTTTTTTTTACCCTTTCTATTTGTGTAACACGAGCTAGGTTTCTGAGACTCATGTACGTGTTCAACTCTCCTTTTTATGGAAAAAAGATTATGATTTTAGTCAAAACAAAGGGCCAGATTATCATTTCCAGATATTGAGGATCTTACCGTCTTACATGACTACTTAAGGTAAAATGAAGAGTATGAGTAACATGAAACACAAATGAGTAATTGTTTTACTCAATGACAATTAGAAACTATGAGAGATAAGTTCATGTGACATAATTAATACTTCATTTCAATTCTACTACTTCCTTAGTCCCACAAAGGCTTACTTATTCTTAGGGCACACGATGTTAGGAGAAATGTGATGATGGGGTTTTGTTAAGAAAAGATATGAAATAAAATTATATTATTTTATTTATTTAAAATTTATAGAGGAAAGAGGAAATAATTGCATTTAGGAGACAAAATGATGAAAATTGATCAACATAATTCATGAAAATAATATGATAAAGAGATCCACTTCAAGTGAATAAGGTAATCGAGACAAACCAAAATGGAAATATGGGTAAAGCTTTACGGAATGGAGGAATTGTTGTTAGAAAAAATATTGACATTCTTGTACTACAAGTTGCATCAATGATTTCTAATACGAAAAAGTTATTACATTGTTAATTAATTAACATTGCAAAATCCCTTACTAAAGTTAGCACACAAAGAAAATGCTTAGTATGGTAACCCTAAGAGCATGTTTGGTAAGAGTATTTTTTTTTTATTGGCAACAGATTGCATATATCATTACTATTATCGAGTGTTTAGTTAGAAGGTTTAAATAATAATAACCATTACCTTGGGTAATGGTTTCCACTTAGTTTTTACCTCTCTAAAACCCAAGGTATCAGTTAATATTGCCATCCTTAAACACCAAAATTCCAGCTTTTCTCTCACTCTAAACAATTTCACTTTCTTTCTCCTCTTCTCTCATCTTGCAAGTGATTTTTTGCAATTAGATAAACTAAGGCCGTGTTATGTTCACCTTATTTCCACTTATTTCAGACTTAATAAGTTCTAAATAGTTTATAAAAGGGTTAATAAGTTCAGATAAGATAAGTTCAGGAAAAATAAGTTCAGATAAGTTGCGATAAAGGTAGATCAGGGCTACTAAGTTTAATTTATAACTAAAATAAGTTCTGATAAGGGTTAATACGTTCATATTAGTTCAGACAAGTTTAGATAAGTTCAGATAAGGTGAATAGATTACAAACTAAACAAGAAGAAATAGAGTTCAGTCTAAGTCCTTTCCATATAAAACCAAGAGTTTCATAATTCATTTCCCCCTTCTAATTTGTTTCCTTTCCATTTCGTTTCCAATGTTTGTACCAAATACCCTCTAAATCTACAATGGATTAATTAAACAAATCCATTATTTTCAATTTAAACAATAAGAAGTTAAAGTTCAGATTATAGGTTATAAAAGCAGTTCCATGGGTCAATGCTTTACAACCCAAATTTTATGTTAACTAGAAAGAATTCTTCAAGCCCAAAACCAATACATAATCCCCAAAAGCAACATTTTCTTTTACTCCTTTCAACCAATCGATATGGTCAAATGGCCAGTTTATTGAAACCAACTCATTTATTAGACTTCGAGTATTCAAGATGCACTTAGTATTCCTAAAATGATAACTCAATCAACACCCACTTACTACAAGTCTACAAGTGTGTATTAACATAATATTATCACAATACATCTACACAGTTCCGCACCCAATGCAGGGTAACTATTTTGCAATAGATCCTTGAGACCTCTCTATGAATATAGAAGTTGTTTACAATAGATCCTAGAGACCTTGATCCTCTATGAATATAGAAGTTGTTTGCAACAGATCCTTGAGACCTTGATCCAAGAAGTAATGAAAATTTGCTATTCACAACATATGAAAGGCGTAGCTAGTTTAGTGAGTCACAGCATACCATACTAAGCATGTTTACACTTCTTTCTACAAGTAGCACACTAACTAATAGAATGATAAAGGCAAAACAATGCAATTTTCTTGTTAGCATGGAGAACAACCAAAAGATTTCACCCAAACATACAATTGCTCGTGAAAGCTTTGTCTCGGAGACTAAGACTAAGAGATTATTGATGAAATGGAAGATGTCAAAAACAATGAATCTATCATAGTTTCAATGTTTTCAATATCTAACAACTGACAAGTGACAACTAATTAATACAAAAACCAAAAAATGATACACCTAAGAACTAAAGACTGCATTTGACGCAACACAATTGTTTAGATCTTATCTCTAAGCTATTATTTCCTTATTTTGGCCTCTGTTCGTCTACCTATGCCTCCTCACTCTCTTTTCTTCTCTCATCAGTTCTAACAAAATTAACACTGTCGTAGTGAAAAGTACTTCATAATGACTAGGCATCCTTCCCTTTTTGCTACAGAAACTATTAGCCCTCCTAGAATCTGACCACATGGTAATACTTATGTCCTCCAAAATTTTCATATATGGCAACAGAAACAAAGCATGGGCACAGAAAGCCGGCATCTATAATATCAACAGAGGACCCCCAATTTATCTCATGGAAGACACCAAAAGCTTAAGGATGACTTTAGTTCCTCACCATTTAAGTCATCAAACAATAGACAAGCTCTTCCATAATACGAAAAATGCAAGATTAGAAGGCTCTTCGTTGGTAGTAATGATTGAAACAATAGATCAAGTAAATGGCAGAAGCTCTTTGTTAAAGTTGCCTTTGCAATTATTCAGATCACTACTCAACAAGCACGCTCATCTTCACACAATTAATTCAAATGTAAACCCAAACTCAACTGCTATCCAAAATAAGTAGCAACTAAAAAGCTCACTACAGTATACCACATTCACCAAATGTGTTCTTTATAAACCAGATTTCATGTTTGAATGTGCTTGTTTGCTATGCATCAGTATTGCAAAGAAAACGTTATCTTCCAATAAAAAATAAATAAGGAAGTTTTAGTTTTTGAGTTTGGAATCACCATAATTAATGCAAAATCCTAATTTTCCATTTTGTAAGACAAGGATCATTCTTTTCTAGGGGCACACCCACATTATATGGCTATTTCAGTTCAATCAGCTCTATCACTACCACGTCCGTGATCTTTCTACCACAAGAATTGAAGATTCAAAAGATATATAGTATGATTACTTCTAAGAGTTCACAAGACACTAAATTAATCAGCACAAAAAACCTGCTGGTACAATAAAACACCACTTTTTATCGAAACCCATATCAAACGTAAATGGAAGAACATCAGAAGAATCTCATCAAAAAGCAAATGTCATCAATTAAGCAAAACTCCATACATTAAATTCATCAAAATCGTATTCAAAATCAAGAATAAAATCAATCTAATACAAAATAACTTATTGAAGCTTTCATTTGCTCACCCAACTCCATAAGCAACAGTTACCCCAAATTCAGAGCATTTTCAAAATCTAATCATGCTATCCAACAAAAACCAGAAATGGGTACTGAAAAAAATCCCAAAACTACGCAAAGCACTCAACCAAAATCAGAAATTCACCAAAAACAAGAAAACCCAACTTCACAAAAACCCTAAAAACACAAAGATTATACTTCAAATCTAGTAATCAATCCACATTCCATTATTTCAATCAAACAATTACACACCCAAATATTAAAATCAAATGAAATCTGACCTGAAATACGCTCAGTCGGATGAGGCTGAGACATCCTCTTTGCATCAATTCTCACCCCAGAAAACGAAATTACAGCAACCAGAAACAAACCCAACTTCCAAATCTCCATTTTTACTCGTTCTTCTAAACAAAATCAAACTTCTGGGTTATGAAACAAACTTGAAAATCAACTAAATCTCATCAAATTATTGTAATTTTGAAGAGAAAAAGTGGGTATTTGAAGCTGAAATTGTTGGATAAAAAGTCTACTTCATACACCAGAACTTTCCCTTGGAAAATTGTTTGCTGGGATTGCAAGGGAAGACGATAGTAGTATCGTTGTCTGATGAAGCTGAGTAAATTGAAATAGCTTATAATAGTTGGCTTTTTGCAAGAATATTGTTTTCAGTAAATTTGAGTAGTGTAGATTGGTCGATAAAGAGTCAACTTCATGCACCAAAATCTTTCTTACAACCTGTTTTTCGGCTTTTAGTTTCACAGTCTCATTGTTTACATTCCTTTTCTTTCGCCGACCACCTCGCCCATGGTAAATTAAGTGTATATGTATGCAGTACATGTACGCGTCTACGGGTTGTATTTGTATGTGTGAAATCTAAAATGGATGACAAGAGGTGATCAAAGGGTCGTCCGAGCCGGGCCGAGGGTAGAATTCAGCTCGATTGATCATGTCGGGCCAGGTCAAGCCAAGGTTCAAGTCGAAAATCTTGCCCAAATTTCGCAAATTTAAATCGGGTCTAGCGGGATTTTTGAGCGAAAATTTTTACCTAGACTCTAGTGTAGGATGAAATCCCTGCACGGCTGCACCCCATTCCAAATGACGCCGCATCCTGCTGTTTTTAATTTGTTTCACTCCAAAATATAGGACACCTTGATCTCCATCTTAAATTCTTAATCAACTTTAGTGAACTACATCTCTGCCAATCTCAGTGATATTCTCTACTTCTCCGTTGACCACAAAAAAAAAATCGGTAGAATCGCTGCTTTAACTTTTAAATATATTTATGAATTGCAAATTTTTTTGTTTATCGATTTGATTCAAAATTGATTGTCGCCATATCAAAAAACTAACACAAGAAGTCAAGTCAATGTTCTAATTTTTTTGTGGGATGAAGATTTGGAATTATGCTAGTTTACTGTTGAGGCAACTAAAGCTGTCGACTACTTGTTCCAATTTTTAATTTACTTTGTGCAGTGGTTGATGTCAAATATGGAAGCAATTGAGAAGGAGAGAGAAAAAGATGAAGAGTTAAGCTTAGAGGATTGTAGAGTATTAAGAAAGAGAGAGAAAAAAGGTGAAGATTAAAGCTCGTGAAAAGACATTGAAAACACCGTCGTATTATATAATGAATTTTTTCACTAATAAAAGACAAACATATAAATGAACATATAATATTTTGTAAATGAACATTTAATAATTTTGGTTTGATAGAACATTTACTTATTTTCATAGATAATAAAAGTTATATTTTTGAATTATTAAAGGAATGTGAGGATAATGATATAGGCTCATGAATTAAACATATTAAAAATTAGTGGACTAGCTAAGTGGAGTATATAAACTATAAAGTACATGAATATTTATAAATATGAAAATAAAAATCAAAATGAAATATAAATGAACATTTTATAATTTTTTGACAAAATAAAATAAAATTGTTTACGAGCTGCAAAGTGGCATTGTAGGAGTAAGTATTTCCATAATTTGAGAATTTATAAATGAACATATACAATAATGTATGAAATAATATGAAATAGGTATATAATGAAAATGAACATTCTGCCTTTTATAAATTAAATGAACAAAAATTGTACTTTTTAATAATTAAGGATATTTTAGGATTAGTTCCTAGTTTTCATTGTACTGTTTGATATTTTGCTAAGAGATGTGGAAATAGTGGGTTAAAATTAGTAAATTAGCTCCTTTTCAACCTTTGGAGGTTGGGACTTGGGAGTGGAGTATGGTTGGGACAATATCTTATTGGTATTACTGAGTAATTTAATTGAGTGCATTTCAAGATTATTTATCAAATATAATAACACAAGTTTCAAATTGAAAATGAACATTTATCACAATGAAAATGAACATATATATTTATTAATATGTGAATAACCATATGTATTAATATCGTTCTCCCTAATAAATCAATAATTCAATAATTATATACTAAAAGACACACTAGCAATGACACGTGTCATTTTCTGGTGTGTCCCTTATTTTTTTTTTTTTAAAAAAAAAAAAACCTATTTAAGAAACAAATCTTAAATAAAAATAAATTATTACAAACTTATACATAAATGAAAGATTTGATGTATTCTTGATAACTATATAAACTTATGTAAAAGGGAAAAAAAAAATCAAACTTACTTCAACATAATTTTGCCAATCATAGTGTCATGTACTTCAATAATTGCATTTATTTTTTTTATTTAATATCTTTATAATAAAATAAAGCTTCAAGAAAGTGACTAGAATATTAAAAATTAATTAAAATAAAATATTTGATAAATCCTTCCACAAAAATATTAACAACTACAGAGTATAAGTTTTAGGGGAAAAAAAACGGATTCTTAACATGTGACATATTGAGTTTGTGTAATGTACTATGTTTTTTAAAACACCAATTTAATTTCTACAAAAATTAAAATAGAAATATATTTACGGGTTAAATACATAGTACATAGCTTTAAGAAATTCATTTGGTTAATAAACAAAAAAAATATGATACTAATATGTTGGTTAAATATACAAATATTATAGACCGAGTATTGTCAAATGTGTATATTAAAATACCTATCTAGCTAATGGGATATTTCATAATAAATTTATCATTCTATTTCAGACAAATTCACATTTTTTGAAAAACAAGTGTATGTTTAATTAAATTATAGTATTTATTTCAAAAAAAAAATTAAATCATAGTATTTTGGTTTTTTTTTTTTTTAGAAAACAAATTCATTATATATATATATATATGTTTTTTTTTGTTTTTTTAGCAAATATATGTTTTTTTTTAATTAAATGTTATTTTCATTCAATAATAATTATTTAAAATTACCGTGCATGGCACGTGACCTAATCTAGCATTTACCAAAATGAAACTGGACGTCTATGAATGAACATATAAGTATTTGAAAGTTAACATATGTATCTTACAAAATTAATAAACATTTACAATATAAATATGAAATACCGTTAGTAGAAAATGAACATAGTTAAATATAGGAATGAACAAGTATTAAAATATAAATTAAAAAATATTAAAAGTCAAATGAATATCTTTCTGTACGAGAACAATAGTTACAATAGAACATTAGCTAATATCAAAATGAATATTAGTTTCATACAATTAAATATTTAGGTTGGTGCATTATATGCAAAGTTTCTATAAAGTTATTCCTATTTCTATATTTTAGATTTATTTTTTTTATAACTGATTAACTGTTAATTTTTATAAGTGTTGTAAATGTTCATTTCTGTAAGCGTAAATGTTCACTTTCTTTTATAAAGAGTATTGTATTCAAATTATATTTTGAATTGTTACACGTTTTTGTAGAATTTTATTTGTTTCAAATACATCTTATATATTATTATGTTAATTTATATAAAATGTTGTCGAAAATTCAATATTAAATAAAATTAAAAATGAATTCATAACATTAACAAAACACGTATCTAAAGTGTACATATCCTTCTTACCAATTGAACATCATCATTTCTCTAGGAAAAAAAAATGAACATCACCATTTGATAAATTAAGTATAACTAGCTTTTTGGCCTGTTCAATGCACGGGTTATTACTTAGGTTAATTATTTTCATATGTAGGAAGATTGTTTCATTTCTAAATTTAAAAGAATAAAAGAGAGAGGGTAGAACCGTGAAAGAAGATGAATGAATTTAGTTAGATGTATACACGTGAAGATTGTGGGATATAAAAGGACATAATATTTTAAATTATATTTAAAGTCTAGGGGATGAAAAGACAATTTTTATTATAATTTATATGTTTATGTAATGTGTATTAATTTAAATATTATTTTATTATGGTGGAAATGAAACACTTTATTTTCTTACTTGAATTTGCAAGTTGTATAAAGCATAAAGACTTAAACATAAATATTAAGGGAGATGACATGTGGCATATATGGGGTGATGAGTGACTTGTGAATTGTGATGCCATGTGTCATATGAAAAATTTGTGGTTTGTGTTTTAAATACTAAAGTATATATAGACTAAGTACAGTCATATAGATATAGATATAGATAAAAGGAATATAGAATCATATTCTTGTATGGTTGTACCATTTTAATTTATAGCCATAAGATGTTCGTTTTGTGTATTTTCGTTGATGTATATGTTCCTCTTCAACTTTATAATTTATTATTCTGTGTAATTGTTGTTTTTTTAAAAAAAAAATATATATATTAGTAACAATCAATGCACATTATTTACAAAACGTGAATGAATGTCTATCAAAATTGAAATAACAAAATTATCAAAATAAAAATGAACATATATCAATTTGAAAATGAACATTTATTGATACGAAAATTATCAATATCGCAATAGATATACTACGTATATTAAATAAATTGATCATGTATCCATATGAAAATGAACATTTACCAATATGAAAATGAACATTAATAAATAAATAAAACAAATACTACTTTATTTTTTTTCCTCATTTACGAATTACGACAATTCTTCTTTCTAGATCAGATTTAGGAAAGAAAAGAAAGCAGCTATGCTTATGATGACTGTCTATTAGAAAGAGAAATTAATATAGTATTAGAGACTAAAAATTTAAGAGAAACAAAAATTGATGGGAAAATCGATCAACGAGATTTGTGTTGATTGAATATTCCATGGAAATGACTAGTAGAAGAACAAATCACACACTTCTAAGTCACACAGTAACACATACGATTATTAATCTCTGCCATCGTCGTCGACGACTACTTTGAAGTATTCTAGCAATGGAGGTTTGGGGATGCAGAAATGAAAAACCATGGAGCCATGGTGGTGCGTAGTGTGGGGAGTAGATGTAAAAAAAAAAAACTTCATAAAAATCAAATAATTTTAACTTTATTGTTCCATTTAATTTCTCATTAATTAAGTAGATATTTCAAATTCATCTATCTAATGGTCTAAGGGTTTTTGTGAAAAAACCAAAAATGATAATCCCTAATAAAATTACAAAATAAGGGTAAAAGGTAAACAAATATTTTAAAGGTCATAAACGTTCATGTA